TCAAGAATTTCGGGATTATTTGAAGGATCTAAGCAATCTCATTATACACGATGGCTGTGTGTTCTGCAAAAAATATTAGGTTAAATATACATAGCTTATCCATTTTTTCCTCCAAGTTGTACTTCTCTGATGCACTCGCCTGAATGTGTAAATATTGTCAGCGATGTGAGAAAATTGACTGAGAAATATCACCATGTTTTATTGTTTACTTCTAATGGTGACAAAAGCAATGTCAAGGTAATTTCTCACACATTTTTCTAGACAAAAACGAGGCTATGCCTTTGATGTATTACAAATGTCTTCCACTGAAATTTATGTATTCCACTTTTTTCAGTTTGGTGAAGGTGAATGTGATTCACATGTATCCATGTAACCTCGCCTGGTTAACTAGTTTACTAGTTACTAGCCGGTCCTAAGCCCGGGTAAGGAGTGAAGGTTGGGCATAGGGATAGCAACCCTACCCCATGAAACAAATCTAACCGCTAAAGAAACTTCAAAGCACAAACAAAATATAAAAAATAATAACAAAATTATTCCTCGCTGGAATCGGAGAGGCAAAATGACGCCAGTTGGTGAAAGCCTGCCCTCGGGAAGCCAATTGGCCGATGTGTCTTCTCTCGATGAAATCGAAAGTAAACGTGAAGACATGGAATGTCCGCACCATGTTTGAACCCAACAAGGCAGCCCAGATTGCAAACGAGATGAGAAGGTATCACATTGAAGTGCTTGGAATTTGCGAAAGCAGATGGAATGGGAGTGGACTCTCCAAACTGTCAACTGGTGACGAGTCAATTATCTACTCCGATATTGTCACCCAGACGACAACCACGAGCACACTGAGGGAGTGGCTGTCATGACGTCCCCAAGAGCATCGAAAGCTTTCATGCAGTGGGAACCAATCTCCTCCAGGATCATGACAGCAAGATTCAACTCAAAAGGAAGGAAGGTCACAATCATACAATGCCACGCTATGCACCTACAAATAATGCAGAGCAACAGAAAAAGGAGGAATTCTACAGACAACCTCAATCAACACTGGACAAGACACCATCTCAGTTGGCGATATCAAAATTCTAATGGGTGGGGTGAAATGAATGCCAAACTGGGAGGGGACAACACGGGAAGAGAACTGACCATGGGTTGAGAAGCGCTCGGTCAGGTGATGAACGAGAATGGAGAATTGTTTGCAGAATTCTGCGCATTCAACGATTTCGTGATTGCAGTCAGGCAGTGTGTTCAGGCACAAAGATATCCACAAAGCGACATGGATTTCACCAGACACCAGGACACACTAAATATTAAATCGACTTTATCTCAATCTCAAGAAAGTGGAGACGCAGTCAGCCTACTTGACACAAGGTGAAGAAGAGGAGCAGATGTAGGTTCACACCAATCACTATCTAGTGCAAGGAACCTAACTCCAAATCCAGTTGAAAGCCTTCAAGGAAGCTGGTGATAGACCTCAATTCAAGTACAACACTCGGAAACTGAGGGATGAAACTACAAAGGAGATCTTCAAGGCAGCCATCAAGATAAAATGGGAGACATCGAGGAACATCCCCAAAGAAACCTGTGTGGAAGAACACTGGAAGTCTTTGAAAGCTATGTGGAGAGAAACCTGCACAACAGTATTAGGAAGGAAGAAGGTGGAAGACAAGGAATGGATCTCAACGGATACCTGGAAGCTGATAGAGGAGGGAGAGGAGGATGGTGAAACAGAAGATAAACCAGTGCAGTGCAAGGACGCTCAACGACAACAGGAACTGAGCACAATGTATAAAACACTGAGAAAAGAAGTAAAGAAGAGTGCACGCAGAGACAAAAGACACTTCTACGAAACACTAGCAAGTGAAGCAGAACAGGCTGCAGGCTGGTAAGAGAGACAGAGGCCTGACAACATTGTATCAAATAACCAGGTTGATATCTGGGAAGAAATCAACACAGATGAAACCAGTAAAAGATGAAGAAGGAAATTTAATTACGAAAGAAGAGAAACAAAGGAAACAATGGGCCGACCACTTCAAGAAGCTCTTGAATCGACCACCACCTGCACTTCATCCAGAAATACCACCTGCAGCCGCTGAATTACAAGTGAACATAAATCCTCCAACGAAAATGGAAGTCCTGAACGCCATAAAGCTACTGAAATGCGGGAAAGCAGCAGGACCAGACGGGATACCGCCAGAAGCACTGAGAACAGACACAGAGACAACAGCAGACATGCTCACACCACTGTTGCAGAAGGTGTGAAAGGAAGAGAAGGTACCTGCCTATTGATTGGAAGAAGGGTTACCTTGTCAAACTGTCGAAGAAGGGAGATCTCAGTATTTGCCAGAACTGGCGTGGAATCACTCTCCTGTCCACCCAGGGCAAGTAAAATATTAAGCCGCATCATCCTGGAGAGGCTGGAGGATGCACTGGATTCAAAACTACGACCGGAACAGGCTGACTGGCTGGCTGGATTCAGGAAGTACAAATCATGTGCGCACCAAATTGTAACCCTACTCTACACATCATCATAGAACAGAGTATAGAATGGCAGCCAACTCAACTCTACCTCAACTTCATCGACTTTGAGAAGGCCTTTGACAGCGTCGACCGAGAAGTAATTTGGAAACTGCTTCACTACTAAGGAGTACCGCAAATCTTTATCAGCCTCATTCAACAACTATATGAAGATGCCACATGCCAAGTAATTCACAATGGGAAGCTCAGTGATGATTTTGAAGTGAAGACAGGAGTGAAACAGGTTGCCTACTATCCCCCATGATATTCCTGATTGTGGTCGACTGGATCATGCAGCAAACAGTGGGGAGCGAGAAGAGGGGGATACGCTGGCTGGACTGTGGAAAACAACCTAGAAGATCTGGATTTCGCCAGTGATGACTTGTGCCTGATGTCTTACAAACTCGAAGTTCTACAGGCAAACACTTACAAGTTGACAGAAGAGGCAAGGCAGTGAAGACGAGACTTCAAGTGAATATAGAGAAGACAGAGGTAGAGGTGATGAAGATACCGCACCACCACCAACAACAACAAACTCCAATCACCGTCAACGGGAGAAAGTTAAAGGAAGTAACCTCCTTCACCTATCTAGGAAGCACTGTTTCAACTACAGGCAGCACAGGCACAGATGAGGATGTCAAAGTCAGAATCGGAAAAGCAAGACAAGCCTTCATTAGCCTGAAACCAGTGTGGGGATATTCTGCACTCAGCATGCGGAACAAGATACGGATTTTCAACACCAACGTCAAGTCAATGCTTCTGTATGGCTCAGAGACTTGGCGCGTCACGAAAAGGATTTCCAATAAACTACAGACATTCATCAACAACTGCTTACCCTCGCTACTGAAGATCAGATGGCCAGAATAATAAGAATAAGCAACAAGGAACCCTGGCTCGGAACGAAACAACCAAGAACCTATCACGCAACAAATATGCAGGAGGAAGTGGAGATGGATTGGGCATGCACTGAGAAGGCCGACTGAGGGCATCACGCGTCAGGCCAGGTACCCGAGTGGAATCCCCATGGGAAGCGACGAGTTGGACGTCCGAGGCGAGGGTGACATGGAGGAGGTCGTGCGAGGAAGAAATGAGAGCTTGTGGGCTGTCGTGGAGCCAGGTTCAAGAGATCACAGAGAACAGACGTCACTGGAGACGTGCTACTGAAGCCCTGTGTTCCACTAGAAAACCAAGGGATTAATAATAATAATAACAATAATAATAATAATAATATCTGATAAGTTGTAAAGCTATACAAAGACATCAGTTTCGGTTTCAAAACTTGTGGATATTTACCCGCCTTATGACACAGTTATCCAAAATGAATTTAAGGGCATAAGAATGGTTGGTCATCTAACTCAATGTTTAGTTCACAAATCTTCACCAACAGATAGTGTTCACTGATAATGACTGAAAAAATGGAAACACGTGATAGCTAATAAACGACTATCTTATTATACGTCTGTGAAACACAACATCTGAAGGTCATAAACATGAGGAAGTAGAATATGTTAGGTAGACTGTCATCGAATACTTGCATACTGACTTAACATAACTTTGGGATTTGGTAATTTCCAAATGATTCTAACTATTTCCTCTCCTCACAGATATTTGAACCTGGATTGGTTCAATCGATGCTTTTAAAGAAGTCATGAGGTCATTTCATGATGAAGTATGACGAAGTTGTGTTGTTACGGTTCTGGATTATGAGTTCTGTTATTGTTATATCAGTATCTTATAACACTTTGTCGCAAGAGACGTTCTTAACCACTACGTTCTTTCTCAATTACTTATAGACAAATGATAAGTAAATAACAGATGGTACTTCTAGCTTTCATAAACAACATGAGTTAAGAAACATTCTGTTCAGATCATGTTTTTGTTCAAGACCACTTTGCTACTTCTGTGCTCGACTTAGAATGATACGAGTATGAAGGTGATCTTCAAATTGCTTCCATACTTGTAATTTCCCGTCGCTATAAAGGGTCGAATAGCTCCAAATTCGGTTGGCAGATGAGCTGTTATGCGGATGCCTCACTACTACCGGATATTCATTATGTTTTTTTCTAAGTTGGTATTCATCATTGACTGATATCATTTGGAGGGACATTAGAAACATGGGAGCATTGGACAGTTGTTTCGTTCTAGTATGAGACTCTTCAGCAGTGCGCACCCACAACCCTGTGAGGGATAGAACCCGTAATCTCTAGATTCCGTGGCCAACACGTTGCCATCGAGCCACTCGGTTGGAATCCAATGGTTGTGGCATACAAATGGAATCTTTCTAGATCCCACTGCTAGTCATCACGAAGTCAACTAAAATAATACATATTCATGTAAAATTGAGGCATACCAATAGGAATCAATATGCCAATGGATTCGGTTCAGTATAACAAAGTGGAATTTTGCCAGTAGCACCAAATAGTGGCGACAATAAGTCGTAAATAGTAGTCATCTTAGTATTTTCGGTATGATGCAGATTATATTGCATAACTTACTAGTATTTCCATCATTATATTGTCGATTTAACTAAAAATAAATCCGTAATGATCAACGTTCCACATAAAAATAGTTTTAATTGTTTTTGTTGCAATTTTTTTCTTTTATATGCGTGCATACGTGTGTTTGTTGAGTGAGTCTAATCAACTCCAAATTCTCTGTCATTAGTCTACTTTAGGTGTTTGTATAAGTTACATGCATTCGTACGTGCATCTTTACCTGAACAAGCATATATACATATATCTACGCGTAGCGTATTCGATATGTATTTTAAGATGTAATGTTGTGCAAACCACTAGCGAATATTATCAATAAGTGTAGATAAGTTGATTGAGTGAGGTATGATATTTCCATTGCTTTCTATGAATGAAAAATTCAGATAAGACCTGTGATTATCAACCTCTGTTAACTGATGTGAAGTACAAATATTAATTAAAAATCAAATAATGATTGGTTTACTGTTGATAATTTCAAAGAAGTGAACCCGCAGATGTTCAAGCTTCGCACCAAGCTGTGCACCAATCGTTACTATGTACAATTAAAACACAGTCAAGATCGGGGCATCCGCACAGGAACCCATATGCCAATAGAATCTGATCAAATAGGTCCAGTCAACGACGGTATAATACAAGCAATAATACTAAAACTATACCCGTCACAAAAGAAGTGGCTGTTGTGGCTCGGTGGTCTAGTCGATAACGCTGTGGTGTTTGAAGCGATCGGTCCCGAGTTCGAATCCTGGTGGGAATAACACCACTCACTGGGGTGCAGGTACATCTAGCTAACGAGTCCATAATGGGACGAAATGCTCATGCTGGATCTGTATGACAAACACATCTTGAATGGGTCTTCAAAGTCTAGGAACTCAGCTTACTGCATGTCGCTAACTGACGTTTAGAAGAGTTAGCGATATGCACAGCGTTATCGACTAGACCACCGAGCCACAATAGCCACTTCTTTTGTGACGGGTATAGTTTTAGTATTATTGCTTGTATTATACCGTCGTTGACTGGACCTATTTGATCAGATTCTATTGGCATATGGGTTCCTGTGCGGATGCCCCGATCTTGACTGTGTTTTAATTGTACATAGTAACGATTGGTGCACAGCTTGGTGCGAAGCTTGAACATCTGCGGGTTCACTTCTTTGAAATTATCAACAGTAAACCAATCATTATTTGATTTTTAATTAATATTTGTACTTCACATCAGTTAACAGAGGTTGATAATCACAGGTCTTATCTGAATTTTTCATTCATAGAAAGCAATGGAAATATCATACCTCACTCAATCAACTTATCTACACTTATTGATAATATTCGCTAGTGGTTTGCACAACATTACATCTTAAAATACATATCGAATACGCTACGCGTAGATATATGTATATATGCTTGTTCAGGTAAAGATGCACGTACGAATGCATGTAACTTATACAAACACCTAAAGTAGACTAATGACAGAGAATTTGGAGTTGATTAGACTCACTCAACAAACACACGTATGCACGCATATAAAAGAAAAAAATTGCAACAAAAACAATTAAAACTATTTTTATGTGGAACGTTGATCATTACGGATTTATTTTTAGTTAAATCGACAATATAATGATGGAAATACTAGTAAGTTATGCAATATAATCTGCATCATACCGAAAATACTAAGATGACTACTATTTACGACTTATTGTCGCCACTATTTGGTGCTACTGGCAAAATTCCACTTTGTTATACTGAACCGAATCCATTGGCATATTGATTCCTATTGGTATGCCTCAATTTTACATGAATATGTATTATTTTAGTTGACTTCGTGATGACTAGCAGTGGGATCTAGAAAGATTCCATTTGTATGCCACAACCATTGGATTCCAACCGAGTGGCTCGATGGCAACGTGTTGGCCACGGAATCTAGAGATTACGGGTTCTATCCCTCACAGGGTTGTGGGTGCGCACTGCTGAAGAGTCTCATACTAGAACGAAACAACTGTCCAATGCTCCCATGTTTCTAATGTCCCTCCAAATGATATCAGTCAATGATGAATACCAACTTAGAAAAAAACATAATGAATATCCGGTAGTAGTGAGGCATCCGCATAACAGCTCATCTGCCAACCGAATTTGGAGCTATTCGACCCTTTATAGCGACGGGAAATTACAAGTATGGAAGCAATTTGAAGATCACCTTCATACTCGTATCATTCTAAGTCGAGCACAGAAGTAGCAAAGTGGTCTTGAACAAAAACATGATCTGAACAGAATGTTTCTTAACTCATGTTGTTTATGAAAGCTAGAAGTACCATCTGTTATTTACTTATCATTTGTCTATAAGTAATTGAGAAAGAACGTAGTGGTTAAGAACGTCTCTTGCGACAAAGTGTTATAAGATACTGATATAACAATAACAGAACTCATAATCCAGAACCGTAACAACACAACTTCGTCATACTTCATCATGAAATGACCTCATGACTTCTTTAAAAGCATCGATTGAACCAATCCAGGTTCAAATATCTGTGAGGAGAGGAAATAGTTAGAATCATTTGGAAATTACCAAATCCCAAAGTTATGTTAAGTCAGTATGCAAGTATTCGATGACAGTCTACCTAACATATTCTACTTCCTCATGTTTATGACCTTCAGATGTTGTGTTTCACAGACGTATAATAAGATAGTCGTTTATTAGCTATCACGTGTTTCCATTTTTTCAGTCATTATCAGTGAACACTATCTGTTGGTGAAGATTTGTGAACTAAACATTGAGTTAGATGACCAACCATTCTTATGCCCTTAAATTCATTTTGGATAACTGTGTCATAAGGCGGGTAAATATCCACAAGTTTTGAAACCGAAACTGATGTCTTTGTATAGCTTTACAACTTATCAGATATTATTATTATTATTATTGTTATTATTATTATTAATCCCTTGGTTTTCTAGTGGAACACAGGGCTTCAGTAGCACGTCTCCAGTGACGTCTGTTCTCTGTGATCTCTTGAACCTGGTTCCACGACAGCCCACAAGCTCTCATTTCTTCCTCGCACGACCTCCTCCATGTCACCCTCGCCTCGGACGTCCAACTCGTCGCTTCCCATGGGGATTCCACTCGGGTACCTGGCCTGACGCGTGATGCCCTCAGTCGGCCTTCTCAGTGCATGCCCAATCCATCTCCACTTCCTCCTGCATATTTGTTGCGTGATAGGTTCTTGGTTGTTTCGTTCCGAGCCAGGGTTCCTTGTTGCTTATTCTTATTATTCTGGCCATCTGATCTTCAGTAGCGAGGGTAAGCAGTTGTTGATGAATGTCTGTAGTTTATTGGAAATCCTTTTCGTGACGCGCCAAGTCTCTGAGCCATACAGAAGCATTGACTTGACGTTGGTGTTGAAAATCCGTATCTTGTTCCGCATGCTGAGTGCAGAATATCCCCACACTGGTTTCAGGCTAATGAAGGCTTGTCTTGCTTTTCCGATTCTGACTTTGACATCCTCATCTGTGCCTGTGCTGCCTGTAGTTGAAACAGTGCTTCCTAGATAGGTGAAGGAGGTTACTTCCTTTAACTTTCTCCCGTTGACGGTGATTGGAGTTTGTTGTTGTTGGTGGTGGTGCGGTATCTTCATCACCTCTACCTCTGTCTTCTCTATATTCACTTGAAGTCTCGTCTCCCTTGTTGAATGAGGCTGATAAAGATTTGCGGTACTCCTTAGTAGTGAAGCAGTTTCCAAATTACTTCTCGGTCGACGCTGTCAAAGGCCTTCTCAAAGTCGATGAAGTTGAGGTAGAGTTGAGTTGGCTGCCATTCTATACTCTGTTCTATGATGATGTGTAGAGTAGGGTTGCAATTTGGTGCGCACATGATCTGTACTTCCTGAAGCCTGCCTGTTCCGGTGGTAGTTTTGAATCCAGTGCATCCTTCAGCCTCTCCAGGATGATGCGGCTTAATATTTTACTTGCCCTGGGTGGACAGGAGAGTGATTCCACGCCAGTTCTGGCAAATACTGAGATCTCCCTTCTTCGACAGTTTGACAAGGTAACCCTTCTTCCAATCAATAGGCAGGTACCTTCTCTTCCTTTCACACCTTCTGCAACAGTGGTGTGAGCATGTCTGCTGTTGTCTCTGTGTCTGTTCTCAGTGCTTCTGGCGGTATCCCGTCTGGTCCTGCTGCTTTCCCGCATTTCAGTAGCTTTATGGCGTTCAGGACTTCCATTTTCGTTGGAGGATTTATGTTCACTTGTAATTCAGCGGCTGCAGGTGGTATTTCTGGACGAAGTGCAGGTGGTGGTCGATTCAAGAGCTTCTTGAAGTGGTCGGCCCATTGTTTCCTTTGTTTCTCTTCTTTCGTAATTAAATTTCCTTCTTCATCTTTTACTGGTTTCATCTGTGTTGATTTCTTCCCAGATATCAACCTGGTTATTTGATACAATGTTGTCAGGCCTCTGTCTCTCTTACCAGCCTGCAGCCTGTTCTGCTTCACTTGCTAGTGTTTCGTAGAAGTGTCTTTTGTCTCTGCGTGCACTCTTCTTTACTTCTTTTCTCAGTGTTTTATACATTGTGCTCAGTTCCTGTTGTCGTTGAGCGTCCTTGCACTGCACTGGTTTATCTTCTGTTTCACCATCCTCCTCTCCCTCCTCTATCAGCTTCCAGGTATCCGTTGAGATCCATTCCTTGTCTTCCACCTTCTTCCTTCCTAATACTGTTGTGCAGGTTTCTCTCCACATAGCTTTCAAAGACTTCCAGTGTTCTTCCACACAGGTTTCTTTGGGGATGTTCCTCGATGTCTCCCATTTTATCTTGATGGCTGCCTTGAAGATCTCCTTTGTAGTTTCATCCCTCAGTTTCCGAGTGTTGTACTTGAATTGAGGTCTATCACCAGCTTCCTTGAAGGCTTTCAACTGGATTTGGAGTTAGGTTCCTTGCACTAGATAGTGATTGGTGTGAACCTACATCTGCTCCTCTTCTTCACCTTGTGTCAAGTAGGCTGACTGCGTCTCCACTTTCTTGAGATTGAGATAAAGTCGATTTAATATTTAGTGTGTCCTGGTGTCTGGTGAAATCCATGTCGCTTTGTGGATATCTTTGTGCCTGAACACACTGCCTGACTGCAATCACGAAATCGTTGAATGCGCAGAATTCTGCAAACAATTCTCCATTCTCGTTCATCACCTGACCGAGCGCTTCTCAACCCATGGTCAGTTCTCTTCCCGTGTTGTCCCCTCCCAGTTTGGCATTCATTTCACCCCACCCATTAGAATTTTGATATCGCCAACTGAGATGGTGTCTTGTCCAGTGTTGATTGAGGTTGTCTGTAGAATTCCTCCTTTTTCTGTTGCTCTGCATTATTTGTAGGTGCATAGCGTGGCATTGTATGATTGTGACCTTCCTTCCTTTTGAGTTGAATCTTGCTGTCATGATCCTGGAGGAGATTGGTTCCCACTGCATGAAAGCTTTCGATGCTCTTGGGGACGTCATGACAGCCACTCCCTCAGTGTGCTCGTGGTTGTCGTCTGGGTGACAATATCGGAGTAGATAATTGACTCGTCACCAGTTGACAGTTTGGAGAGTCCACTCCCATTCCATCTGCTTTCGCAAATTCCAAGCACTTCAATGTGATACCTTCTCATCTCGTTTGCAATCTGGGCTGCCTTGTTGGGTTCAAACATGGTGCGGACATTCCATGTCTTCACGTTTACTTTCGATTTCATCGAGAGAAGACACATCGGCCAATTGGCTTCCCGAGGGCAGGCTTTCACCAACTGGCGTCATTTTGCCTCTCCGATTCCAGCGAGGAATAATTTTGTTATTATTTTTTATATTTTGTTTGTGCTTTGAAGTTTCTTTAGCGGTTAGATTTGTTTCATGGGGTAGGGTTGCTATCCCTATGCCCAACCTTCACTCCTTACCCGGGCTTAGGACCGGCTAGTAACTAGTAAACTAGTTAACCAGGCGAGGTTACATGGATACATGTGAATCACATTCACCTTCACCAAACTGAAAAAAGTGGAATACATAAATTTCAGTGGAAGACATTTGTAATACATCAAAGGCATAGCCTCGTTTTTGTCTAGAAAAATGTGTGAGAAATTACCTTGACATTGCTTTTGTCACCATTAGAAGTAAACAATAAAACATGGTGATATTTCTCAGTCAATTTTCTCACATCGCTGACAACATTTACACATTCAGGCGAGTGCATCAGAGAAGTACAACTTGGAGGAAAAAATGGATAAGCTATGTATATTTAACCTAATATTTTTTGCAGAACACACAGCCATCGTGTATAATGAGATTGCTTAGATCCTTCAAATAATCCCGAAATTCTTGAATTCTACCCCCATTCAATCATATTGATGCGAAGCCTCTAGAAAAAATACACTGATTCATATGTGCAAGTTGCAGATTGCTTGAAGAGGTGAAAGGAATAGGGAACACCATCTTAGAAATGTTTGTAAATGATCAGGGTTATAGTATACATAACATTTTATATTGTAGCATACTTGCAGCTGTCTTAACACAATTTCTGTTTCTCAAGGAAATGAGAGACAATAACGGATGCAGTTTGAAAGTTATTATTCAAGTGTCCTCTCGTATAATTCAAGTTTCATCAATTACCAATGGGAAACGAAGTGTTGTATCAGTTACATATCAAAAGATCTATGAGTATCTGGTCTGATAAAAATAATATTTGGTTGTTTGATACATTGTCATAGGTGTCATTACAAGATACTAGCCCAGCCGCTTGATGGACTATGAGTAACCTATGAAGGCTTTATGCAGGGTTTTCCAGTAACCTGCTAGCTAATGAATCCGGTGTACAGTGTGCAGCGTAAATGTAGACAATCCTGTTGTTCTCCTATTCGTCTTTGATAAGTTAACCCAGCTCAATAATAACCCAGTCAATAATAAATTCGATGGGGGTGACTGGTGTCTGAGTCTCCTTGATTACCTGTATAGTCGTTTATTTCGATGCTCAGACTTGTACAGTTCTTCCATTATAACCTTCCTGTTAACATTTCATGCAAATATGATGTCTCAACATGTGAATCACCATGATGTGAATAAATAGAGTATGGTTGAGAGCTTTCATTATCTTTATCTCCTCTTCTTATTCTTTTCTCATACACACTCATTCTCACACCTCAATATTTAAACAATTCTTATTCTCAGAATTTTGACAATCATCTCCATCTTTATTATGTCCACGAATTCTGGGACTTTATTAATGAACATACTGGATGAATAGCGTACAGCGTTTCATTGAGTGTCTCAATGAACCTTTTTATCCCCTCATCTCTTCCTCCAAGTTGTTTATTGTAAACAATGGGCATTTTTACTCCTCTCGCCGCAAATAATGCATTTGAAAGAAACTAACTTAAAGTCAGTGTTCTGGATAACTTGAGAGAGACAGATAGCCATTGGACACGTGGAGCACTGAATAACTATTTTTTCTTAGTTTGAGACTCTTTAAGAGATCTGACAGCCCCAATCTCCTATCACAGGCGAACTTACAGGTATGCACAGCTGAAAATTCATAAACTAGGATAGAACAGCTATCCAATGCCGACAGGTTCTCAATAGTACTCAAACTGATATCACTCCATGATAAATACAACATTTAAATCAGTCAACACCCAAACTTTCAAATTGAACCTAGGATTAGTTAGGGTAAACAATATCGAAGGTTTAGATACAGGACACTGAATTTTTAGTTTGTATTGTTGCAACTGATTTCCAGCATCAAAAATAACTTTATAGCCTGTCATAATACCAAAAACAAAAAACGATCGGGAATCTTCAAAGATTTAAATCATCCAACCCAGTTGAACAACTTATAATTTCAGCTTAATATTGCTTCGATTTAAGAAAGCTTGATGGTTTAATTATTATCATTATTTGTCCTAGTGGAACATAGGGCTTCAGGAGCACTTCGACATTTCACTCTCTTCTCTGCAGTCCTTTGAACCTAGCTTCATGACTGTCCACAAGCTTTCATTTCTTCCTCACACCATCTCCTCCATGTCACCCTCACCTCAGACACCCAACTAGTTATTTCCCATTTGGCTTCCACTCGAGTGCCTGGCCTGACGCGTGATGTCCCTGAATGTTGTATGCCCAATCCAATCCATCTCCACTTTCTTCTGCATATGTTTTGGGTGATAGGTTCTTGGTTGATTCGTTGCCAGAGTTCCTTGTTGCCTATTCTTTCTGGCAATCCATCTGATCTTCAGTATGGAGCTAACGTAGACAGCTGGTGATGTGTGTCTGTAGTTTGTTGGAAATGCTTTCGTGGCGAGTCAGGTCTCTAAACCATCACACAATAGCTCTGACTTGTCTGAATTAGTGTTGAGAATCTAGATCTTGTTCTTAATGCTGGGTGTAATGTAGTGCAGTGCAGCAGATTTCCCCACCGACTTCAGACTAATAAAGGCCTGTCTTGCTGTCTTTCTGGTCCTGGCTTCGACATCCTCATCTGTGTCGCCTGTATTTGAACCGATGCTGCCTTGATTGGGTAGGTGAAAGAGACAACTTCCTTCAGATTTTTCCTGTTGGTGGTGATTGGTGCTTGTTGTTGATGCTGTTGTTCGTTGGGTATCTTCATCACCTCTGTCTTCTATAAGTTCACTTGAAGCAACTCCCGTCTTCGCTGCCTCGAATCACTTCTTCTGACAACTTGTTAGTTTCTTTTGTAGACCTTCGAGTTTGTGCCACAAGATATTAGGCATAATCATCATCACTGGCGAAATTCAAATCTTCTAGGGTCTTCTCATCGGTCGAACACTGTATCCCCTTCTCCTCACAGAGCGTCACAGTTTCTTGCATGATCTAATCCAGTTGACTAAAATCAGGAAGATTATCGGTGATAGTAGGTGGCAATTTTGTCTCACTCCTCTCTTCACTTCAAAGGCATCACTGAGCCTTCCATCGTGAATTACTTGGCGTGTAGCATCATCATATGGTTGCCGATAAATGACTGAGGTTGATATAGATTTGTGGCACTAAAAATGTGGTGATGAAGCGTCTGCCAAATCACATCTTGATCGACCATGTCCAAGGCATTTTAAAAATCACTGAAGTCGAGGTAGAGTTGAGTTGACTGTTATCCTATGCTCTGTTCGATGACGATGTATAGTGTAGCAATTCGGTCTGCACATTACTGGTTCTGCCAGAATCCAGTCATCCTGTTCCGGTCGTCATTTTGAATCCAGAGCATTCTTTTAGTCTCTCTAAGATAGTGTGGCTTAATATTTTGCTTGTTGTGGACGGAAGTGTGATTCGGCGTCAGTTGTTGCAAAGACTTAGGTTGTCCTTGTTTGAGAGTTTGACAAGGTAGCCGTTTTCTAATCTGTGGGTACCTTTCCATCCTTACAAACCTTCTGCAATAGCGGTGTGAGAATGTCCGCCGTTGTCTCTGAGTTTGTTTTCGTTGCTTCTGGTTTAAACCTGGTGATATTTATGTTGCGCTGAGATCAAGAGCTACTGATTTGGCGAAAGATTCAGTAGACAAGGTTTACGTTGCACACATATGTTTTGTGATAGACAGATCGGTGAAAGGATAAACAGATACCATTTTAAAAGTACACTGAATATTCCCATTTAAACATTCAGAATAGTGCTGATAAGGGAAGAAATATATTCATTTTCCATTAAGTCTTCGTCTTGGGCTCTACACTAATATGTAGTTTTACCATTTAATCAAATTTCTATTCAAGTGGTGGGGGTTGGAGAACAGTAATCGTAGACTTTAAGTAAGTCATGAAGATGATCAGTTTTAGAAATTAGCGTGCAAATAATCATCAGGGTAATTAAAATTGGAATTATGAAGCAGGTTATTCTTAGGTAAACGGAGCGATTTTTAACGAGAGTTCAGTCATAAACAATAGATTATTACTCAACAATAAGAAAACAAACGAATATTGATAGAAATAAGAGGAGGAAGAGGTGTACACTGTAATGCTAGAAGTTGCATCATGTTGACAGCCACGGTAATGAAAGTGGTCGAGCAAACTTCTTTTGAGTACAAAGATCAGGTTTGTGAAAGTGGACTGCAATTGCCCCCGTTATGTGAAGTAAGCAAGTGTGTACCTCTCCAATACAAAAGTAACCTAGTGAAATACCTCGCATACTGCTCCACGGCTATTTGCTCAGATGGTGCCATACAGAAAGAGTTCGCCAAGATCCGGGACCTGCTTAGTAGGAGTGGCTATCCAGACAAGTTTGTAATTCAATATATGAGTGTTACTAGGTTTAAGACAAAAATGCCAACTATTCCTAAGTAGCGAATATTCTTGAATCATTGTAAAACCATTTTTAATATAATCGCAGCGTGTTTAAAAAACAAAACAAGATGTTTCTGAACATTTCGCTGTGTAAACTACAGCTTCAGCAGAATATAAGGATTTTTTCATTACCATCAAAATATATAGTTAAATGATACATCAAATACATTTAGTGAACGTAGGTCATTGGTTAGATGATTTTCCTGTCCAACCTGAGTAATTAAGATTAGTCACTACAGGACATTCGTAACAATTATGGTCTGGATGTTTATAATCAAATCCTCTCGAAGCTAAAATTTAAGAGTGACACTGCCAGTGAGACCGTCACACAGCACATGAGAACAGCCTTGCATTAGGCATTCCCAGAAGCAGCCGTCTTCTACAATCGTGCGATTCTAGGTGCAAGAAATGAAAACAAAATGCCTCACTTTACCACTTCCATGTGCAGTAATCACTTCAACTGCTCCTGTGGGGCTAGTTACGTTGGGCGCGCAATGAGGTAGGTCATCTTCAAGACTTACTCAAAATCTATGATTATTGTTCTCCAACCCCCACCACTTGATTGGTAATTTGACTGAATTGCAAAACTATATATTGGTGTAGAGCCCAAGACGAAGACTTAATGGAAAATGAGTATATTTCTTCGCTGAATTAGTCTCCTTTTACATTTTAAAAGTGTTTATATTGCAATCAAACAATAGTCACTGGTGAAAAGTATATTATTATTATTCGTCTCTTGGGTTCCTGGTGGAACATACGGCTTCAGTAGCACGTCTCCATTCCACCCTGTTCTCTGCAATCTTATCAACCTGGCTTCACAACTGACCAGAAGCTCTCATTTCTTCCTCACACCATTTCACCCTCCATTTCACCCTCGGACGCCCAACTCGTCGTTTCCCATCTGGGTTCCCCTCGAGTG